CTCTCTCTCTCTCTCTCTATATATATATATATCTATATATCTCTCTCTCCCTTCCTCCTCCCTCCCTCTGCCTCTCTCTCTTTCCCTCTGTATATAGCTATATATCTATATCACCTGGGTATGACTTCTTTATTTCTCGTTCTCTCTCTCTCTCTCTCTTACTCTCCTCCTCTTCCTGCGCTTGCTGCTGCTCTTGCTCTTTCTCCTTTTAATTCCCCTTCCCCTCCTCAGAGGGGCCATCAGCCTGGAAGCCCAGCTCCCTCCCCTGCTTCCCCCCTCGAATTCGACACCCGAGCCTTCAATTGCTTGTCCAAGCTCGCGTTCTCTTTCTGCAGAGCTGCCAGCCGTCGATTGCAGTCCTCAATGTCGTGAAGGTGCTTCTTTCCCTTAGCGCGCCCCAGCTTGATTACGTAGCCAGTCAAGCAAACGATGCAACCTGTTATGGCCAAGATACGGTCTTGCTCATGCTGCTGCTCTCGTCCTTCTCCTCCGATTCCTTCTCCCTCAATCTTTCTCCCTCACTGCCGTCCTAGTGCCCCTCTACGCATCCTGCCCCCCATAGCTCACCAAACACCTTGAGGTAACACACCTTTTGGGCTTGCGATCCGATCAGGCTCGGCCCGCCAGGCTGCCAACACATCGACTGAGCCCGTCGCGATCTGGTTCAGCAGTGACGCAAAGCTCGCGCTGTCGTCGCTACCCTTCGGTCGGGCTTCGTTTGCAACTTGCATCTGCGCGAGGCTCCCAATTACTGCCGCAGCCGCTGCTGACCCTGAACATCCCTTCTTGTCTTCCGCAGCTTCCCTCATCCCTCCGCCCTCCTCAATCATACCTTCCCTACCCTCCCAATACGACGTTAAAGCAATCCACATTAACACACTGATGTCCGCATTTTTGGGGGAGGAGGAGTGGAAGCGGGCACCACACATACAAATGATACCCGCTCCGACGTGATCCTTTCCCACCTCCACCTCAGCATTGCCCTCTGTCTCTGTACGCATCTGAAGGACGACGGGGGACACAACAAATGCTGATGCACGGGTGGGTTATGATAACGAGGGGGGGGGGGTGGAACTGGTCTAGGACAGGGAAGGAGTAAGGAGAAGGCATGGCGAACAATGAAGGACGGGGGGTGGGAAGACGGGGAGGAGGATGACGAAGAGGATGCGCAGGGATAAAGGAGAACGTGTGATGCGAATCGCACTGGCTATGAAGATGGGAAGCCTGATGCTGACGAGGCACTATGCTGGGTAGAATGAGGCGAATCATGACGCTGAGGAGGACGAGGATAAGCAGTTTAGGCGTGATGTGAATGACGACGCCGAGAACAAGCAGGAGGAGGAGGAGGAGGAGGAGGAGGAGCAGGAGCAGGAGGAAGAGGAGGAGGAGGGGGAGGGCGGACAGGAGGGGATCAGAGTGAGGAGTGAGGTGGAGCAGAGTCCGATCATCTCGCAGCTCGGCGCTATTGGGCCTGGGGGGCCAGGATGCACACATGAGGGGCAGACGGCGGCATGAGGGGGAGGACACATCTAACACTTCTATGGACGATATCTGCACGAAGTCTCTCGAACGGCAGATTTGCCACTTTACTTGTATCCTACATTTGGCATTTTGCTCTTCTGGTACTTTGCCTCGGGGTTCCTGTACAAGGCGTTCCTTTGCATGCACTTCGCCTTCGGCACATTCCGGGGCTTTGCCCTCTCTTGGCCTTGACGTGCGGCCCCTCCTTCCGCCTTCCTCCCTCTGTCAATTAAAGCTGTGCGCGGCCCGCTTAGCTTCGAACGGAAGAGGCTCGCTCTCGACCCGCGGATCAAAACAAATTGTATCCAACATTGGACTCTTCGTGGGGTCTCTTCGCTCGGGAACTTGGGACTGAGCAGCGACTTCAGCTGCTCGTATACTCCGGTTCGCGTCGGCGCACAGATCTAAGCCAACATGGAGTGGGTGCCCTCTGCCGCAGGGTGAATCGCAGACGCGGAAGAGAAGCACGAGGAGGAGGAGGAGGAGGAGGAGGAGGAGGAGGAGGAGGAACAGGCTCGACAGTGTCCAAGACAAGGCGAAAGAGATGGTCGGAGGGCGTGCCTCGTTCAGTCGGGACGGGCGGGTGCCCCGTGCGTTGGATATGGAACCGGGCTCGCGCACTACTGCGGGCAGCCCACTTTGTACGGCTGGTGAGGAGGATTCGGGTACGGGGAGCAGGAGGAGGAGGAGGAGGAGGAGGAGCGGGAGGAGGAGGAAACGGAGGAGGAAACGGAGGAGGAGGAGGAGGAGGAGGAGGAGGAGGAGGAGGAGGAGGAGGAGGAGGAAGAGGAGCAGGAGGAGGGTGAGGGAGGTGGAGGAGGAGGAGGAGGAGGAGGAGGAGGAGGAGGAGGAGGAGGACGAGGAGGAGGCGGCGAATGGCGCGGGAAACTCCTGCATCAGTTCTCGAGGCTTCTGGCGACGCAACAAGAGAAGAGGGAGGCGCCTGCGTGTCATCCGATGTGGTTCCCATGGCGGGCCCCTGGCGGGATGCGCGCACACCCGAGAAGACACACGACTCGTTCGACGGCAACGTGGCCCCAGAGCACCAAAGGACATGCGGATTGCATAGGTCGGGATAGACAGGACACAAGGGCAACCTCCATTCGGCATGGTCGACCTACTAATCAAACTCGGCTGTAAAGGAAGCGGAGGGGGCGGAGGTGGAGGAGGCAGATAAGGAAGTGGAGGACTCCAGCACGCCCTCTCCCTCCCTTCTCGGCATGCGTCCTGCTGCTTTCATCCGGATCGCACGTGTGCAACATCGCATCGTCCTCTTCTGCCACCTCCTCCTCCTCCTCCTGCTCCTCCATCTTCTTATCCTCGTCCTCGTCCTCCTCCTCGTCCTCCTCCTCCTCCTCCCTCCTCCTCCTCCTCCTCCTCCTCCTCTTTCTCCTCTTTCTCCTCTTTCTCCTCTTTCTCCTCTTTCTCCTCTTTCTTCTCTTTTTCCTCTTTCTCCTCTTTCTCCTCCTCCTCCTCGTGCTCTCCCTCCCCCTCGCGATGCAGACGCATTTTGGGAGGTAAGCCCACCACGAAACTGACAATGACGCAGATGTTGCAAACGATGCTGCCGACGACGATGATGATGACGCTGATGGTGGTGATGATAATGATGATGACGCTGATGCTGGTGCATGGTGATGGTGATGACGCTGGTAACGCCGATAATTATGATGATTATGCTGATGCTGTGGGTGATTATGATGAGCCGGATGCGCATATTATGAAACAGGGTGTCCCCGCAGCGTTCCCCTCTTGCTTGTCTTTGGGCCTGTGTGGCGGTCTGGCGGCTATGTCGTCGCCGTCGCCGCCCCGTCGCCGCCGCCGCCTCGTGGCCGCGTCGCAACACATATACTGCACCACGTATATTGCCCAACAGAGATTACACCGCGTAGATTGGACCACATATATTGTATCAGACAGGTTGCACCACATGCAGCGCACCACGTAGTCTGCACAACAAATGTAGCACAACGTATTGCACCACATTGTTTGCACCACATCAACTGCGCCATATAGATGGCGCGACATAGTTTGCACCACATAGAAAACACAACATCTGTTGCTAGAAACACACTGTTTGGGCGTCCGCGCTCATTAACATACACACCACTGTGTACATGTACATCTATGTATATGTCTGTTTGTATATGTTTATGTATGTATGTATGTATATCTGTATGTATGCATGTATGCATGTATGCATGTATGTATGTATGTATGTACGTATGTACGTATGTATGTATGTAGGTATGTAGGTATGTAGGTATGTAGGTCTGTCTGTCTGTCTGTCTGTCTGTCTGTCTGTCTGTCTGTCTGTCTGTCTGTCTGTCTGTCTGTATGTATGTATGTATGTATGTATGTATGTATATGTATATATATATATATATATATATATATATATATATATATATTTATATATATCAACTTTCTATATTTTTACAAGCCCGGGCGGGGGGAAAACCCGTCCCCCCCCAAAAAAACCGGGCTCCCGGGATCTCGGGCTTAGGGACCCTCCGGACGGGCCTCGAAACGGCCCCCAGGGCCTCGCAGGACGTGGCGCGCTCCCGAAACGACCCCAGAGAGCCCCAATACGGTCGACGACGACCCCCAAGAAGCCGTCATACCCCCAAAGATCGTCCCGAAACGTCCCAAGAGGCCTCCAAGAGCACTCCCAAGAAGGCCCCAAGAGGCGAAAATCCTTGATTTCGTTGGTTTATGGCTTATTTGGGCGTTCTCCTCTTTTCGGCTTCCCGACGCTCCAAGACGGCGGTCTTCTGGGCGTCCGAAGCCGCCTGGGAGGCTCCATTATCGACCCACAACCATCCGAAAGGGCTTCCAGGCAATCCAAGAGAGCCCCAAAACGGCACAACAGGGGTCCAAGATGGCCCTCAGGGAGCCCCATGGCGGCCCAAGATGGCCCTAAGACACCCTCCGAAGCATTCCAAATCATGACCCGGTTGTTCAGGGAGACCGCGGTTGGAGGCAGGGTGGCCCGACAAACCCCCAGAACCCCCCAGAACACGCCCAGGAGGCCTCCAGAAGCCCTTAAGAAAGCTTCCAGAACACGCCCATGAGGCCCCCAGAGGCTCTCCAAGGAGGAGCCTCCGCAAAAAGAGCTGAGGGGGATGGGGAGAATGCGCAGGGCATGGCGAAAATTGGGAATAATAACCATGGAGGAAGGATAACGAATAACATTATTATAGCGGCGATGCCGGAAAAGAAATTATCGCTAAATTGTCGGCTTGACCTTCCCGCTAGTCCGCCTGAATACCGAACTTCAAGGACCAAGGTGCATGGCGCGAAGCGCCAATGTAGTCTTGTGTGTTTATACATATATATATACGGGAACCTGGTCCGGGGGGTTCTCCGTTCGAGCCGGCGCCAAAGACGCTATTTAAAGACGCTGTTCCCCCAAGGAGCTGCGGTGACGCCTCTATTCCGCTGATGCCTGGTGAAGCTCGTGACGCCTCTATTCGGCCTGAAGCCTCTATTCCCCTGACGCCCATTGAAGCTCGTGAAGCCTCTATTCGGCCTGAAGCTTGTATTCGGCTCGTGACGCCTCAGTCCGGCCTACGAATTGCGACGCACTGGTCGGGTGGCGACCCTAGACGCGCCTATTCGGCCTTAAGCCTCTATTCCCCTGACGCCCATTGAAGCTCGTGAAGCCTCTATTCGGCCTGAATCCTCTATTCCCCTGACGCCCATGGAAGCTCGTGAAGCCTCTATTCGGCCTGAAGCCTCTATTCCCCTGACGCCCATGGAAGCTCGTGGAGCCTCTATTCTGCTTGAAGCCCTTATTCCCCTGACGTCCGGTGAAGCTAGTGAAGCTTTATTCGGCCTGAATCCTCCATTCCCCTGACGCCCACTGAAGCTCGTGAAGCCTCTACTCGGCCTGAGGCCTGAATCCCCATGGCGCCCGGTGAAGCTCGTGAAGCCTCTAGTCGGCCTGAAGGCTCTATTCCCCTGGCGCCCATTGAAGCTCGTGAAGCCTCTATTCGGCCTGGAGCCTCTATTCCCTTGACGCCCGTTGAAGCTCGTGAAGTCTCTATTCGCCCTGAGGTCTCTATTCCCCTGGCGCCTGGTGAAGCTCGTGAAGCCTCTAGGTGGCCTGGAGCCTCAATTCCCTTGACGCCCAGTGAAGCTCGTGAAACCTCGATTAGGCCTGGAGCCTCTATAACCCTGACGCCCGGTGAAGCTCGTGACGCCTCGCAGGGTTCGTGCCCCAGGGGAGGGCAAATCTATAAACAAATACGTGAAACGCGAAAGATTCGTGCCCCTGGAACGGGATCGGGCCCCAGGAGAGGGCCAATCACGTTAAGGATTCGTTTCCCGTGATATGGCCACTCTACCAGCACGCACGTGAAGCACGAACTATTCGCGTCCTAGGAGAGGGTTAATCTATAGGCACATACATAACACACTAAGAGGATTCGTGTTCCAAGAGAAAGCCGATCTATTGGCACATACGTTAAACACAGAAGGATTCGTGCCCCAGGGGAAGGCCAATCTATATGCACACGCGTAAGACACGAAGGATTCGTGCTCCAGGAGACGGCGAATCTATAGGCACATACGTAAAGCACGAAGGGTTCGTCGCCCAGGAGAGGGCAAATCCATAGGCGCATACGTAAAACACGTAGGGCTCGTGCCCCAGGGGAGGGCAAATCGATACGCAAACACGTAAAAAGATTCGTGCCCCTGGAAAAGGCCAATCTGTATGTATACACGTGAAGCACAAAAAGGACTCGTGCCCCAGGAGAAGGCCAATCTATATGCACACGCGTAAGACACGAAGGATTCGTGCTCCAGGAGACGGCGAATATATAGGCACATACGTAAAGCACGAAGGGTTCGTCGCCCACGAGAGGGCAAATCCATAGGCGCATACGTAAAACACGTAGGGCTCGTGCCCCAGGGGAGGGCAAATCGATAAGCAAATACATAAAAGGATTCGTGCCCCTGGAAAGAGGCCAATCTGTCTGTATACACGTGAAGCACAAAAAGGTCTCGTGCTCCAGGAGAAGGCCAACCTATACGCACATGTGCAAAACACAAAGGATTCGCGCCCCCAAAGACGGTACATCTCTAGGTATCAAGTAATACGCAAAAGACTCGCGCTCCATGATACATTCGTGCCCCAAGAGTAGGCCAATCTATAGGCACATACGTAAAACGCAATGGACTCGTGCCCCAAGACAAGGCCAATCTATTGGCACATACGTCTAACACAAAAGATTCGCGCCCCAGGAGAGGGCCAAGACAGCTCCAGGAGGCACCGGGAGGAGCCAAGACAGCCTCAGAAGGCACCAGGAGATCCCAGGAAGCCCTGGGGAGCCCCGGGGGGCCCCAGGAAGCCCCAGGAGGCCCCAGGAAGCCCCAGGAGAGGACCAATCTATAAGCACATACGTTAAGCACAAAGGATTGTGAAACCACCCGGACCGCGCCGCACCGGTGACACGCTTCTAACGGATCCATCCTGCGGGCTCCTGGAGCATTCCGCCTCAAGAAGGTCCCGGGAGGCCTCGAGAAACTTCCAGGAGGCCCCATGAGACCCCCCCCAAAACCAAACGAAGCCCTAAGAGGCCCCGAAACGGCCCCCCCTGGAGGCTTCAAAACAGCATCCAAGAGCCCGACGAGAAACCTGTTTCTCGTCGGCCGCCCCCGCCACCGCCGCCCGCCGCCGCCCGATGGGGCTGGGTTGCGGGTCCAAAGTCTCCTGGATGTTCGTTTGGGGGTCTCTTGGGAGGTTTCTCGTCGAGCTCTTGGAAGCTGTTTTGAAGCCTCCTGGGGTGCCGTTATGGGGCCTCTTAGGATTTGTTTTATCAACTTGGGGAGGGGTCTTGTCTAGCAGAAGGTGTCGCACAGCAGGTGGGGCACGTCTAGCACCAATGATTCTTTTTTAGTCAACTTGGGGAGGGCTCTTGCCTATCAGAGGGTGCCGTACAGCAAAGAGGCATGTCTAGCACCAAGGATTCTCTT